AATAAATAAGAAAGAAAGAGGAAAAAAAAAAGAATGAGTTCGGGTTTTAATGTATGCTTCTTGATCTAGGCACTGCTTACATGGATTTGTGGAGTTTTAAAGTTCATTGACTTGTAAACTCTTCTGGCTGTGTATAACACTTCAATATAAAGTTTTTGAAATGCAAGAAAAGTGTATTGACCTCAGGCTTTGATAGCTGGATACAGTCTATTTCTTAGTGAAGTCATGGATGGGTACTGCCAACCGTTGGGTACTGAGGTTTTGTCTGTGATTTGTTCTCATATGGCCTTTCTCCAGGCAAAGACTAAGGTCGTTGGTTAAGTTTGTCCTCACAGTAATTACAGTCACAATCCAGGCCCGAGATTACTACCAGGTCTCATACAGGTTCTTGTGACCATTTATTTTGTAGTAGAGAAAGAAGCTATTGATTCCCAGGAAAAGGAAAAGGAAAAATACATGGCTGGAGATGGGATCTGTTACTTGGCTAAATTATTTGGATTTGCCATTTATGGGCCTTGTCTTTTTTCATCTGTAAAAATTGTGATTCCACTGACTAAAACATAAATATTGATATACTGAATTCAGTGGTTGACGCTTAGAGAATTTTTCTCTTATTTCCTTCGTGTGTGTATAGTGAAGAGACCAGTACAGGAAACATCATTATTTGATACTTACTGTTTCTTGTAAAAATATTAATTTTATTCTTCCATTACAGGTAACCAGAAATGGAGAGAAAAGTAAGAAGAATCTGCCTTGCTTCTGAACCCAATATTATTCATTTTCTGCAAGTATCTTGGGAGAAAACACTAGGATCTGGTTTTGTTATTACACTTACTGATGGTCAGTCTGCATGGATTGGGACAGGTAATTTTACAGGAAATTTTTTAAAAGTAAAAATTAAGTAGTATATTCTTCAGTCTTCTGTGATACTTTACATTGAAATATTTCTCACGATAGTTGGTAAGACTAACATTACTTATTATTGTCATTTATGTAGATTTATAATATCTAAAGGCACTTTCTATAATGTATATTAATAGATAATAAGTTTGCGTCCCAGCAATTCTGGTTAACATATGAGTCTTAGTACTTGGACTTCTCCATGTTGTAAAATGACCTCTTTATGGTAAACATAAACAGTAGTTAAAAAAAATTATATATATATATATACACACACACACACACACACACACACACACACACACACATATACATACACACACACACGTATATGTGTGTGTGTGTATATAATCTGCTCTCGGGACCACAGGCAGGTATTAGGAGGCAAAGAGCAAGAGGGTTGGAGGAGTTTGCATGAGCTTGGGGATATGAGATGGCAATCTTTTTCTTTTCACTTAACATTTATATTTCTTTTTTACAATACTTAATATTATTTAAATTATTTTACAATGAACATTTACTACATTTTCAGCAAAACAAGGCAGAATCATAGACTATAATTTTGTAATGCAGGGTTCAAAACTATATATAGGATTTTAGTTTTATTTATTCATTTTTGGACAGGTTTTTGCTATAGGGAGTGTGCGCTTGCCAGAAAGACAGATAGACAGAGAGATAGAAAGTGAGAAATCACCCCCCAGGGGGGGATGGCCATGCTGCAGTCCCTTCTCCTCCATTCTCCTCTTGGGATTCTGAACACTCACACATACGTGCCCAGCGTGAGTTTAAGCCACTGGGTCTGGGACTCGAACCATGTCAAGTACATGGGAGTCTAGCAACATAGCCATAACGCATTACACCAACTGCTGGTCCCTAGGATTTTAGTTTTTATTTTATGAAATATACTTTTGACTTTTTAAATCTTGGGTGATGATCTTTTTTTTTGAGAGATTTTTGCTATAGAGCGTGTGTGCTCGCCAGGCAGAGAGAGAGACAGAGAGACAGGAAGCGAGAAATCACCCCCCAGGGGGGATGGCCACGCCACAATCCCTTCTCCTCCATTCTCCTCTTGGGATCTTGGGCACATACGCACATGCGCCCGGCGTGAGTTTAAGCCACCGGGTCCAGGTGAACCGCGGTCGACTACGTGGGAGTCCAGCGACATAGCCATTATGCTAACTGCTGGTCCCCCCCTTTTTTTTTTAATAAAGAGATTTTTACTATCAGGTACATGTGCTTGCCTAAGAGTGAGATATCACACACACACACACACACACACACACCCCGGGGATGGACACGCTGTAATTTCTTCTCCATTCTCGGGATTTTGGACATGCACACATGTGTGCCCAGCATGAGTTTTAAGCCACATGGGTCCAGGACTCCAACTGCAGTCAACTGTGTGGGAGTCCAGCAACGTAACCATTATGCCATCAGCTAGTCCCTGGTGACAATCTCTTAAAAATGCTAATGACCCTCCAGTCATGGAACATGACAGATATAAAGGGAAAAAATTTAAAATTATATTTTACATGGTAAAATTTTAATTATCTTCTAAAATATTTGATTGAAAGATATAAACTTTTTGATAATTATGCAACAGTTTTATCTAGAGCTATGTTGTGAATAATGTTCTCAGAAAACTATTTTCCTGTTAATTTGCATATTATTTGTATTTTCTATCAACTAAATTAGTTCTCTAGAATTTGTTACTAATATAATTATTATTGTCATCTTTAAAATTGTGAACTTTTGTTTCTTTTTTGAATGTTATAAATTCTGTTACATAGTACAGTAAAACTGAATTTATACTTTCAGGATTTATTCATTTAAGGGATTAATGGGCTCTTGAAAAGTTTATTCTGAGAGAGTGAGAGAAACAAACAGACAGATGGCTCCGATAGGATCCTTCCACCACATCCACTGATGTTCTCAGCTGGTCTGGGTCATGGTCACACACATACACATGCCTGGCGTGCTTAGTAGGTCCCAGGATGGGAGCACAGCATCTTTCACATGCAGGTTCAATTGCACCATTGGACTACCACCTGTCCTTTGCAGGGCTTTTTCTCTTTTATGACACAGAACAAGGAATGTTTATATAAGGATTATTGTTACAATAAAGAAATTTTAAGGATAATGTTTGTAAAAATTATTTTAGTAACTACTTAAGCTGTAAATTTCTATGTAAGAGAAATCACTTGTTGGTTGGTGGTTGCAGTGTTGGGGAAGAGAAATACTTGTCAGATTAGCTCTATGTATGTTGGAAAAGGTACATCTAGATGAAATGACTCTTGTTTTCAGGGTGAAAAATGTACATAGGGATTAAGAGAATGGCAATAAGTTAATGCTGGTCCTCTGGGGAAGACTTCCAGCACAGCCAGAGGGGCAGTTCCTAGGTGAAGTGGTTTCTTGCATGTAGAATTACTGTAGGGGCTAGTAGGTGGCATGGTGGTGCACTTCCACATGGCTGAACATGGTTTACCTAGGCAGCTTGAAACTGCATGTGTGTGTGTATGTGTGCCCAAAATCCCGGCAGGAGAATGGAGAAGGGATTGTGGTGTGGCCATCCACCCTGAGGTATTATTTCTCACTTTCCTCTCTCTGTCACTTTGGTAGCTCCCTATAGCAAAACAAACAAACAAAACCAAAAAAAAAAAAAAAAACCCAGAAAAATATTGTATTTTTAACTGGTATTTCTAATTGGCAGACGCATAGCCTTTATAATGAGAAGTTATGGCTTGAGGTGCTTTAAGAGCCTTATTATCAACGAAGAGATTAAATTCTAATCTAGCCAGTAAACGTTACTTAACCAAGGCAAAGAATAATAATATATTATTTGAAATTTTTTATCTGTAAGCATTGGGGAGAATCAATGACACTGTGAATAACTCTTAACTCTTAATTTAACCAGAAGTTTAAGTTAACATTATTAATATAAATACTAATTCACTAGGCCAGATAATTGAGGGCAGGGGCACATCTCATTGGTCAGCCACTAACTATAAAGTATCTAGATGAGTACTTGGACATGCTCAACGAATATTATTTGATTGAAAGAACGAAAAGAAGACTCACATGTATAAAAGTAGTTAGGGAAAAGAGTAAATGAACTGCTCATTTTAGAACATATTTTTGAATGAGAACTGTATTTATACTTATTGTTGACATTGATCTTCAATGCAGTATGATCATATTTTTAAGTTAATCGAATTTAGTATGATAAAGACATAGTAACATATTTCTATGTTCTCTGGAAGGTTTTTAACATTTTGACTTCTTGCACTGAATAAACTGTCAAACAGAAAAGTTTATAGTGTATGTATGGCCATTTTATTCTTGAAGATATCTAATAAAGTTTTAAGTCTTGTAATATGTTTTATGCCTTTCATAATTCATTTATATTTTCCTATTTAAATTGCAGGTACACTCTTTGAAACCAAATAATAAACATCGTTTCCATGTTTAGTTAAGGTTTATTACATAAATGTAATTTGGCACTTTACAGATAGACAATAACATAATTAAGAACATTGAAACAATTAAATAATTGAAACATGAAAATGAATTTCCTTCCTATACCTCATCCTGTTTTTTTGTTAAACTTTTGGATTGCTGCAACCTTCAATTTACATCATTTTTTTCTCTTTTCATTTGAGTGAAATTAAAAGGATGTGGGGTTTCTTTTAATCTCCCACACACTAAACTCACTGATTTCTTTTCCATTAACAATGTTTTATCTAATGAATGTTTGGGGGATTTAATTATCATGTGGTCTATCATCACTATAATATTATAGAGGGTTAAAATACAGGATTATGTCACAAAGTGGGTTTATGATCGATGGCTATTATGTGACTTGTGAAAGAATTTGCTGTGCACAGTAAGGAACTTGTATCCCTCGTCTCAAGAGTAGTATGCAGTTTATTGAAGAGTAAGTTAAACCTTATTCCTTATCAGAATGAAAGTATTTTTATTTAATATTAATAATTAGAAATGCTTAGGTTATCTAACATTTAGATATACTTTCATAGATATTTATCTATATATACATAGATATTTGGTATCCTCTATAGAAATAATGTAGCAGAACTCAGTAGAAAAAGGATTTTTATTAAATAAGTAGTGAAGTGGACTTATGATGGATTATCATCAGGATTCCCAATGGAATGATAAAGTTGTGTGTCTTATGAGTGCCCACACAAGCCTCGAATGTACAGTCTTTTAGTTATACATGGGCTTCTGAAGGATAGAATCATTTTTTGTTTCATTTTGTTTTTTCATTTACATTTTATTTACCTAAAAACAGTGTTAAATTGATATTTGATTCTGAGCAGTCTGAGAATACTTTCTGGTGTTTTGGTCCTGTTGACTTGCTAACCTTTTTTTTTTTTTTTTCCATGGAGTGTGTGTGCTTAACAGAGAGATAGAGATAGAAAGAGGTCAAGTGAGAAATTATCACCCAGGAGGGTGGCCACACCACAATCTCTTCTCCTGGGATTTTGGGCATGCACAACACATGCACTTGGTGTGACCTTCAAGCTGTCATGTCTGGGACTCAAACTGGTCACCCTTGTGGAAGTTGAGCCTTAACCACTAGTCCACCTCCTGTCCCCGACTTGCCAACCTTTTATGCCTGTGTGGTTTGCTTGTATCCCTGATGAATTTTATTTCCATTGTTTTTATTCCTGTTCACTGAAGTTTTAGAGTACTGAATTCTGTAGCTGTGCATCCAGATTTTCTTAGTATAAAGTTCAAAACTAGTGACCAAGTTGTTTTCCAACATTGAAGCTCTAAACAGGCAGTCAGATTTTCACTTTCATAAAAGTTTGTCAACTAATACTTTTCTTACATAGTTTTTATTTATTTTTTTTTTGAGAGGTTTTTCGCTATAGGGTGCATGCGCTCGCCAGACAGACAGAGAGAGACATAGAGACAGAAAGCGAGAAATCACCCCCTACGGG